GATAACCTTCGATATCTAACATGACATACTAAATTTATCATACTTTTTCAAGGTTTGCTTTCTATATCGTTTTATTAAGAGAGAAGCTTGAGTTTCTAAGCCAAAATTCGATTTCTCTCTTTTCTTCTGTTCGTGTATCAAACATTTCTCGACCATTTTACATGGTAGTAACCTTGAGACAATTTTACATTGACGAGTAATTTACATTCTACAATTTAACAGAATCGAACTATTCATTTTCGAGTTCGTTTTTGGAAAAAAAAAGAATAGTTTTTTTTTCATTCAATTATCCGAGCTATTCGAGAGAAAATTTTATCAGAAGTAAAAAAAATAAACAATATTTTGAAATATAAGACTCTGTTAAGTTGTAGCAACAGATCTTAGCTTCATTTTAAAATCAATTCGAAATCTATAGCATTAGATTTTCAGAAGAAGTTCTTGTCACATTGAAGATTCATTTAGAGCGTACTGTTAAGATTCAAACACACATTTCTAGAAACTTTCAGTCAGATCAGTTATTCTAAGGTCAAGATAGGTTACTGACAACGGATTAGATCTTAAAACCTATATGAAATTCTTTTGATTAACTTTGATTCTAAATTCAATTTATTCATGAAATAAAATTTATTGAATGGATATTTAGTTTATCTATCAAAAACAAAACAATTTTTCTTATTCTCTTAAATATAGTATGAATAATTATTTTCATTGGATAGTTTTAATTTCAATAATATATACTAACATTAGATCATGTCACTTACTATTTTGTCATTGTCAATATGAATAAGACATTAATGATATCCGAGCGAAAGAACTTTATGTGTTTTTTTTTCCTTCTTATGAGTACTAATAAATTTTACATGTCAATGAGTTCGAACATTTAGAAGAGAAAAAAAAAAAAAGGAAAATATTTATTAGACAATTGAAAAATATTTTTAAAAGAGAATACATTTTGATTATATCATTCTTTTTTTTTTTATTAAAAAGTAATTAAGCAAGATTTTTATAGGTTTATTTTATTTTATGATTTAACGTTAATTTTTGGTAAAATAAAAGGTCTTTGTGCTGCTGTTTCTCGTGCTTTTTGTCGATTAGCAGCATCTTGTTTAAGAATTAATGTATGACGAGCATAATCTTCATTCATTTTTTTAACATCATAAACACCTCTAACATTAGCAAGACGATGAACAATCGATAAATTTTCTCGAAGTATAGGTATATGACTTTTTAAAAGTTTACGACGATAATCATTAGTATGTCGTTCTCGTAAACGTTCTTGTTCAACATGTATTGATGGATATGAACTTGGTTCTTTAGCTATACGAGCTAAACGTTCTAATTTTAGTCTATTTTCATGATAAATTCGATTATCTTCTTCTTGTTTAGCTAATTGACGACGTTGTTGTTTCCAATAACGTAAATTAAAACCATCAGGTGTAATATATGAAAATGTTTTACGTGGTGAATTTGATCGAGTACGTTGTTGATTTGTTGATTTAAAGTTTTGTTGTTTATCTATTCGATGACGAGTAATAGGTGAAGGTGGTCTTTGATTTATAATTTCATTTGTTGTTTTAGGTGATAGACTTCGTTCAGAAGTTTTTGATGAATGTGATTGTGTCATTTTTCGTGAACTTGTTCGACTATTTGTATGATTTATATCTGTATTTAATTGATTTTTATCTTCTTTTTCAATGAATATTTCTGATGTATTATTTTCATCTTTAGTTTTTGTAGATGTTGTTGATGAACTTTCTTCATTTTGATTTTCAATAATTTTTGATGATAAATTATTTTCATCATTATTTTCGATAGATATTGTTGTTGATGAATTTTCTTCTTTTTGATTTTCAATAGCTTTTGATGATAAATTATTTTCACTTGTATTATTTATAGGTGTTGTTGATAAATTATTTTCATTTTGATTTTCAATAGCTATTTGTGTTGAATTATTTTCACCATTATTTTCGATGGGTATTGTTGATGAATTATTTTCATGTTGTTGTTGTGAATTGTTTGATAATGCTTGGTTAGAATCCGTTGACATTATTTAATGACATAGAGGAGAAAAAAAACCAATCTAATATAAATGTCTTTAGAAATAAATATTCGAACCCTTTTTTTCTTTTTTTTCTTTACCTGTTATATAAAATTTATTTCAATAATGGTAATCTATTACGACCATCCACAGTTATCAAAAGACAACAAGAAGAGGGAAGAAAGAAAAAATGATGAAAAAAGAAAGAAAAAGAAGTAGAATAAAACAAAAAAGAAAAAAAGAAACGAGAATTCTTCGCAGTATCATAAGAGTTTTTTTGATAAGAAATAAGAATATAGAAGAAAAAAAAAGACGACAGAAAAAAAAAAGGGACATTAAAAGATGAGCGTAAACGTCTCTACTAACGTGAAGAAACATAGTGAAAGTGTCGTATCTATGACATTTGCTTCCGCTCTCTTGTAAACTAGTTTTTGATTCTTTCGATTTTTTTTCTCTTCAAATGAAATATGAGCTTCATTTGTTTGTCTGTTTGGCATCAAACAACTGAAATTATCAAATGAGAAACAGACGCATCAGTCAATATTTTTTTCAACAGTCATATACTCAATGATACATCACAATAAAAGACCTCGTGCTATTGAATATGTTAACTTGAATGCTCATTTGATATTATGAAGGACTTCGTTTATATAGATAGACAATACATAATGATTTCAAGGCTAGATTGTAAATTTTGACACCATGTAAAAACTGTATGTCATTTAGCTAATGCTATTTGCCGATTGAGCAAAAAGATAAAACCAAGGTTTATCAAATCGTTATGGTATAATATAAATAATACTTGTTATGTCTGCGTATATGATGGTTCAATGTCCATCACGGTTGATTAAACATTCAGTATATTGATATATCATGATGAGTATATAAACAAGTGATTTTTCTCATCATAATATGAGCGTGTCTCATTAAAGTATATCGAGTTTATAAATTTTGCAATTAAGCAATGGCAAGATTCGATGCAGCTAAAGCAATATTTTCACAAGTTGATGCAAATAATGATGGAACGTATGTAATAATTATTTTATAGAATTGGAAAAAGAAGAAACAAATCTTCAAATATTTTTCTAGTATTGATCCACAAGAATTTCGCAGTTGGGCTGCCAATGGTAGTGTTGCAGGAGCTTTAGGTTCTGGAGCATATGAATCATCTTCATATCAATCAGCAGCACTTGGCGGATTTGATCCATCAGCTAGTCTTGCTTTTAGCAGTGGTGTTGGTTTAGCTGAACTTGGAGGAAGTGGTGCATACGAAGCAGGATACAGTTCTGAAAGTGGTTTTGAATCTGCTGGTGGCTTTGCTGCTGGTGGTTTAGTTGCTGGCGGTCTTGCCGCTGGTGGTGGTAGTTTTGCTATTGATGGAGCTGATAGTGCATATGCAGCAGCAGCATCAGGTGAACTTGTTCAAGGAGGTGGTGTTGCTCTTGAATCAAGTAGTTTAGAACAAACTACTCAATATGCTTCAGCTGGTGGTCTTTATAATGATCCTAATCCACAAATAATTCGACGACCAGCAGCTACTGGTCCAATAATATATAAACAAAATGTTCTTGTTCGATTTCTTCAACCACCACCTGTTCCACCACCAGGCGTAAATAAATGTTTTTGTTTGTTTGTTTAATTTAATTTATTTCTATTTGTCTTATTATAGCCACTTATCATTAAAGAAATTCGTCCACCTCAACCACCACCACCGCCACCACTTGTTGTACGTCAACGTGCACCACCTCTTCCTCCACCACCTCCACTTGTTTTACGTGAACGTCCACCTGTACCACCTCCAGTAATTGCTACTCAAACAGGTAAACAAAGAATAAAAAACAAAAACGTTTGAATAATTATATATAATTGATTATACATTTATATAGTTATTCGCCGTTTGGCTGCTTTACCCCTTCCACCACGATCGGTCGTCATCGAACGTCTTCCACCTCTACCACCAAAACCACGTAAGAAAAAAAAATCTCAATTATTTAGATTTTAATTTTAAATTTTATTCTCTTGTTTCTTTTTTTTTTCTAAGGTGATATTATTATTGAACGATGGATTCCATATGGACCTCAAGCTAAACGTCGTGTCATTGTTCAACGTGCTCCTGCTGCTAGAGAATATCCAAGACCACGTAATGTTATTATTGTTTATGATGCTGTTCAAGCACGTGTCGTACGACAATTTCAACGACTTGGTGTTGTACAAGAAAGTCCACATGCTTATGTTGCTCGTTATGGTGGATCACTTTTAGATGCAACAACTCTTCTTCAACACGCTCGTGCTGCTGGTGTTGTTGAAGATATTGTAAGTCAATATATGATTGCGCAAAAAAAAAACAACAATTTTCCTTTTAGACACCTCCACTACTTGCTGTAGCATCTGCACACTTTGGTGCATCGACATATGGTATTGATGCAGGTCTAGATTATTCAGGTGCATCACTAAGTCAAAGTGCATCATTCAGTCAAGATGCTTCAGCAGCAGAAGGTGAACTTACTGGTCTTGAAGGACTTGAAGTAATTGGTGGTGCTGAAGCTGGTACATATGGTTTAAAAGTTGCTAGTGATGCTGTTAGTGGAGGTTATGGCTCTCAATATTATGCATCATCAGGTTTTGCTGGTGAAGGAGGTTATGCTGGTGGTGGCGGAATTGATGTAGCTGCTGCTGCTTTTGGTACTGCAGATACTAATCGTGATGGAACATTAGATCAAGCTGAATTTCATCGTTTTCTGCAAGGCGGTCTTTAAATAATTTTATAGACTTTTATTCTGTCATTAATATTTTTTAGATTACAACATAGTTTTAAACAGATAGCTCTTTTTTTTTTCATTTTTTTGATATAGAGGAATAAATTACGTTTATATAAAAACGAGAAAAAGAAAAAAAAACACATTTTTAGAAACAAAACTCCATATTGTCATAGATATTTTAAGAGGAAAAAAAAATAGTAATTTTAACCGACATTGCTCACACCACTATCAGAAGAATCACGTTTTCTTATATACCATTCAGGAAGTGTTGTTGAACGAGCTAATCGCATTGCTTCATACCATAAATTAGTATAAAATGTTAATTTATTATCGGAATTTTTCAATTTTTCATCAAGTAATTCATGTTTTTGATATATTGTTTGATGATTTGAATCAATAGCAAATATATGTGTTTTAGTTGTTTCACGTAATGTAAATGTTCGTATATCGGATTCAAGATGTAACTCAATTAAATCAGAAAGTACTATAGAATATTCTTCAGCTTGATCAAGTTTAGCACCATATATATGTAATTGATAATCTTCTTGTAAAGCAATCCATATATTTGTACCGGAATTAACAGTACGAAAATCACCAAAAAGTACAGTTCGATCAATATCACGTGTTGCTTTTGGCCATATACTTGAATTTTTATTTAATTCTGTACCAGTAAAATGTGTATAACATGTATCACAAACACGTACTTCACCATCATTTTTACAATATTCAAGAAGCAATTTTTTTGTTGAACATGAACCACATATACATTGACCACAACAACGACAATGATGTCGTCGTGATAAAATAATTGTTGTACGAAAACGATTATTACAATTTTGACAACGTGTTACATCAAGATCATTAATCCACGCAGGAGCACGTGTACCAAGTTGTTGTTCATCAGGTCGATTAAGTGAGTGACGAACTGAAATATGAGATAAATTTTTTCTTTTTTCAATAGAGATATTCCATGAAAAAACTAAATCCTTCTCTTGGAATTCTATGGTAAATCTACTACAAACTTTCTAGGTTTGTTATTATTGTATGGATAACTGTATATGAGCCTGTGCAGCTAAAAATAGTAGAAATAACTTTGTTAAAATCCTCATAGAAACTGAAAATTGTAATAGCATCAGAAAATTCATTTCTGATAGAATAAAACTGTTCGACAGAAAAATCAAGCATGTCTTCTGAATCTTCAAATCGAACTCTTTACAATCGTATTTTTAGCATCATCAGAAGCATTAGTCCTGAAAAATGAGCAACCCTACCTCCAAACTTTGCGAAAATGTTTTTCTATCTACTGTCTATAACCCTTGTTGGCACAGAAACCTGAATTCTTCAGTTTTTCTAGTTTTGAAAAAAATATTTAATCGACAAAAATCATATATTCGAAATTAGAGCATTAAACTACGTCAAACTGTATAGGATACTAAACAATTTTATAGAAAAAAGATTTTCGCGAAAAAGTGAGAGTAAAGATTTCGCAAACATTTTTCTTTGGAAAAGTTTTTTTCCTAATAAATGCTTTTCTACATCATATCCAATCGTTTACGAACAACAAAGTCATATGCCCACCTATCATACGAAAAATGCATACGGGAGTGAGGATCTTTTTACGGTATATCTTCAAATTTGACTAGTTTGTAAAGAGTATCTTAAACTATCTAAGTATTACAATATCTTTTGAGTTGGTTAAGACCTAATAGGAGCTCCGAAATTTGCTTATTATGATGTCAGCAAAAAAAAATTATCGTTATCAAGTCTCTTACTCTTACTATGCCTTTCGGGAAAATTTTGTTCATGAAAACTTATTCATCACAATGCAAGTTTGTATGTATAAGTGCCGATGCACCAAGTATATTATCTCCAAATTATAAAAGAATTGGACACTGATTAATTTTTTTAAAACAACGTTCAATTCTCTTGTTATACGGAGATAATATATCTGGTAAGTACGTTCTTATACATACAAAATTTTATTGAATCCGAACGATAGTAAAGGGTATAATTTAACAGTTCACAAAATCTTTCTTCTTCATGATACATTGAACTTTACCTTCAGCTTTAGGAAAATAATATTTATTCGAAAAGAAAAATATATCGCTCCATAGAGGTAAACCTAGTAATAGTTTTTTATGAATAAAATTTTCACAAAAAACACCATATATCTAGAAGATTAGTATTTCTGCTAATACTAAATAAGCAAATTTTATAAACTTCATAACTCATGTTAGACCTTAGTCATATCAAAATATATTCTAAGATTCAGAAGTTTGGGGGTACCTTTAGTGGACGGAATTTCTTTATTAGTTACAAACACAAATAATTGATTAAATACGTTAGAACACTAAGTTTTCGTTGTCTGTCAAATTAAGTTGCTAAGTTATGAGAATCCGAAGATTAAAACTAAGTGACTTGTCTATCTGAAGACAACCTCTGGATGTTAAATGCGAAGAACAGAATATTTGAGTGGATTTTTTTTTCTATTTGGTTCGATAGAACTCAATGAGCTAGTTATGAATGCATACTTTTTATTTCAATTAGGTCACTCTCTAACTATAATTTTTTATTATGGATTTTTTTCTTAATTCTTTCTGAAATTATTTTATTTTAATTTAGCATCAAAATTTGAATAGAAAAATATTATTCAGACAAGAGAAAAAAAAAAGTTTATTTGCAATAGATAAATTCAGACCATGAGTTTTGATGTACTATTTTAAGTCTGACTTGCATTTTTTATGAAAAAAAGATAAAATCAAGTATCTTATCTTATTCAAGTCATAAGATGTTGCGTAGAAAAAGATATTTTTGGAAATTTTAATCATTTTTTAAACAAAAAGGTATAAAATGATCTTGTACTTTCCAGTTTTCATTTGTCATAACTCAATTAAAAATTAAAATAAATCATAAATTTGAAATCATTATATAAAAAAAAAACAAACTACCTAGAAGTCGTATGCATTTTAATAAAAAAAGACAATTTTCCACGAACAACCAATCTCATAAAGACCAGATGCAAAATCTTTGAAGAAAAACATCATTTTATCATAGAAAATAGGTTTTATTATAATATATGCAATTCGATATAGTTTTACATTCTGATTTCAAATTTGTTAATTATTTAGCTTCTCAATTAAGGTATGAAACCGAAAACTAGTAAATAAAAAGTTAATATTTTATCTAGATTTTTCTTTCCAAAGTGACGATTTAAAATTTCAGGAAGCGAATCACCTATTTTTAAAAGCATAAAGATATACTACATTCTACACTAACCATCAATACTAACACAACTAACTTGATCTTTGGTTTTCATATTAAATAAAATTCTTTTCAAAGTTAGTTAGTTTCTATTATTTTATTTAAAAAAATTATAATTTTCTTATTACTTTCAATTATTGAATTTCTTCGATTATAATCATTACTTGCTTGTCGAATTTTTTTTATCCAAAGTTCTCGATCAGATTCTTTTTCAACTAAAAATTCATATGATTTTTCTACAGCATTAACACGAAATGGATAATATATAATTCCATTATTTTGTTGATCAATATTTGATACTATTGATGATGGTCGTGTACTTTGTAATATATCAATAGTTATACCTCTCATTGATAATTCACGTTTTATATCAAGTTTATGTCCTGATTCTTCACTACATACAAGTATACAATCTGAAAATAAAATCATATAACGTTGTGCTATATCATTATAACGACGTGGAGATATTTTTTTAATTGAACCATGCCATAAAAGTTTACGATGTTCTTTAATACATTCAAATTTATTATCAAGACGTTCTTTTAATTCATTTAATTGTGTTGATGATATAACTAATTCTTCTTCACAACGTCCAGCTATACGATCAAGTTCATCATGTATAGAACGTGTATGTTTATATTCAGCAGAATTTTGATCAAGATATTTCATATAAGTTTTCATACAAAGAATATAACTAAATATAAATGAATACAAAAAAAAACAAATATTTAATTAAACAATATTGTTTCTTTTTTTTTGTTTTATTCAGTAGGAAAATAGAAAGAAGATTGTATACAGACTTTTTTCTTTAATTATTCATCGACTTTATCAATTCGATGTATCCTATAGAGAGATATTGCTATATAACATTTCTTTAATGTCCTTTCGGCAATACTTTCTTTTTTTTTTGTTGCATAAGTACGGATTGCAGCAGGATTCTAGGGAAGGAATTGTTCAAAAAAGGACGTCTCTTTTAAAGGGTATATATATCAGTATGTATGTTTTTTTTTTCAAAATTGACTTTAACTCTTAGAGAAAAATATTTTTGTCAATATATGATTTCTCAACTGTTTTGCTTCTTGTAACTGCGAAGAAATTTCTTTTTTTTTTCATTTATTGTTTTTTGAAAACATAGCAAAAAAAAATGAAAAACAAAAATTCATATTGAAAATCATATTACCGAAGTAAACGTTGATTTGGACAATTCAATTGAGTTATGGGATATAAATTACCAAGATGAACTTGACATTTAACCATAGCATCATTAATTAATGGATAATTTCTACATAAATCATCTAATTTTCCTTGAGTATCATCATATGTAACATAATAATTTTTATATAATACTTCAATAACTTTAAAATTTTTTTCTAATACTGTCCACATATTACCAGTACGTTGACCAATAATATATTCTTCAATTTCAGGTAATATCATACTATAATGTAATTGATAGATTTGTTGTATTGTACCAAGTAATGGTTTATATGTATTATTAAATATTACTATAAGATTATCATCTTTATCACATGTATTTTTAATTTCAGCAGAAACTTTAACGGAAAGTACATAGAGAATATTCACATAAGTTTTTTCAGTAGCATGAACTTCTTCTAAACATCGACGTAATTTAATTTGCTATAATAAACAACATGAAATCAATAGAATACAAAAAACAAAAACAAAAATAAAACAAACTCGTTCAGCTTCATAATCTTCTTCTTCATCACTAAATGATACATCTGATGAATTACATCGACTTAAATTTAAATTTGATGAAAGACTAGAATCACCGGCTATACTATCGGTTGTATCAATTGATGGAGCAGAATTCCAATCAGATATTTGAGATTTAAGATAATTTTCTGGACGAGGTGGTGGACGTGGCGGAGGTTGACGAGAATTTGGTGTTAAACCAGATGAATGTGATTTATGTATTGGTTGAGTATTATGATTCGATGTTGATCCTTGATAAACATGAGGATTTTTGTGTACATCGAAAAACTCACGCATCTAAGAATAAAAGATCTTAGAAATGATCATTTCGATTCTTATATATATCTTTTTTAATTTGTCGAAGAATCTGAAGAAAAATTCAAATTGTTAAAAGTATTTTATTCAACATGAAGGAACAGCGCATTGCCAAAGATTCAATTGAGTTTTTCAAAAAATAAAAATAGATGTTCATCTCTTTAGAAGAGAAAAAAATTTGATAAAAGGTTAATTGTTAACTACTTTATTTTTAGAATAAACTATGAGAAATTCTATGAATAAGATTTATTTTGATCTCAAGTATTTAATTTCGATATCAATATGAAATTTAGTCAAACAGAGTAATGCAGACTTTGAAAATATTGAATATCGAATGTTATTTGATCAAGGTTTGTGTAATCTTAACCCTTTACCTCCTACAGAACTTTTTTTGACTCATTCATATAACTAACTATTTGAATTAATGATGTAACGGATTGAGACAATTCTCAAATTTTGTCTAGAGCCTTTAGTAAATTTTAAAAAGATTAATTTTGTTCATAACTTCTTTAGCAAATGCAAGTAAGCCTCCTGAGATGTGCCCTTCCAATGTCAATAATGTTTTTGTCTATAGATATACATAGTGGGTGTAGGTATGCAGTGAATCCATGATACAAGGTCCATGGAAGCACTAATTACACTAATATTCACGTTCACAGTAACATTGAGACATCAACTCTATTAAAAAATTCCGGTTTTGTAGTCTTATGGTCCAGCTCTTCAATGTACATTGACGTTAGCGTGTACTAACTACATTCAATTAGTAATATCAGTGGTGATTAAACTGAAAGTGCACATTCCCAATTCTAATCGGCCTCTGCATAAGCTTAGTCATATATATATATTAGCGAAAAACAAGCTCAAGACATTTATTTTGTAAGTTTATGTTCAACAATTCTACAAAATAAACAAATTAATTTTACTATCAAAATTCTCACAGTAGATATTGAATTAATCATTTCTCAATAATTTTCGCATAAAGTTTTTTGAATTCATGAGTCGTAAGAATAAGATATTTGATGCAAGTCTTATCCAACAATGAAATATTTCACTTACGATGGAAAATTATTAGTCATGGCACTGAGACTATTTTACCTATATCTAATTCTCAAGATTGACTCGACGCCCACTCAACTCAACTAATGCACCGAGAGACCTACGTTTTCTTTCCACATGAATGAGTTGAATATTATTACTCATATTTTCCTTTTGAATAGACTATAAGTAGATTTTGTTGATTATTTAAATATGATTTTCATGCATAATTTATATTTACTTTTCGAACTGATTTGATATGGTCATTATTATCGTTCTCTGGTGGTAGTGAAGAATCAGGTGATTTTGGTAATGGTGACAATAGATGATCATGTTCTTCAATAGATGAAGTAGTTCCACTTTTAATACTATTGATTGAAGAACGAAAAAAATTTTTTATTATTGTAGCATTTGATGTATCAGATGGTGGAGTTGGTGAGGATGATTTCGCTTTTGAAAATATAGATTGTTTCGTGGATGTTGTTGTAGTAGTAGGTGTTTCATTTGATTGTTTAAAATGTGTTGTTATAACTTGTACGAAAAAAAAACAAAAAGAAAAATTCAAATAGATTTCAATTAGACAATCTTATTTTTACTTGTTGATCCTGGTGTAGGAGATGGTAAAGGTGAAATATTTGTCTGAACAATTGTTGCTATTGGCATAGATGGTCTTTTTTTATAAGTCTGTGGTTGAGATACTTCAGGAGTTGTTTGATTTTCAAATCTCTTTCGAATTTGAGAAACATTAAGTTTTTCCGAGGGTGTTTCATGTGTTGTTTCATCGCTTGATGATCTAAATTATTTAAATGCGTAAATATAAGAAAAATCAAATATAAAAAAGAATCATACTCATGTTGTTGTTCTCCATCAGCACTAAGGGAATGTGATCGAGGTTTTTTATATTTTGGTGGTAGTGGAGGTGGTATACGTCCAGATTTGCTAAATTTATGTTGGGGCACGTCTTGCCCCTGTGTAGACATCGAAAAAGAAAAAGAAAACGACAGGTAATAATTGTGACAAAAAAATAATATGTGAAAGTCATACAAAGTTTCTATTTGTTTTCTTTGTAATGAATCATTTATATGAGTATGATGGCAATGATTCATTTCATACAACAAATAGTGCAAAGTAAACATGAGACAATAGTATTTGAAATTTAATGAATAAATTAAACTTCGTAAACGAAATAAGAAATATATGTTACTATTATCAGTTTTTGTACTCGTCGAAATACACGAATTGAGATATTTTTTTTAATTTTATTATTACTCTGTACGACTCGATTTTTTTTCTCTCATTCTCGTATTGCTGTTACGTTAGTAAAAGAGCTTATGTCATTTCTATTTTCTGCTTAGTAAATCTCAGCGAAAAAGAAAAAGAAAAACGAGAGAGAAGAGCTACATTCACTCTATATTTCTTTTTTCAACATATAATAACAACAAAAAAAAAAAGAAACACAAAATTTACACTAATTTTTTTTTCCTTCTTCTTGTTGTTGTTTCTTTATGAACACAATATAATATATATTTAATGAAAAATTGAAAATGAATTTTGTTTATCTGTTGATACTTGTTGTTGTGTTTGTTCACGTATTTGAATTTGTCGTAAACATTCTTCATAATCACGAATTAATTGATGATATTTATCATGTATAAATGTTGAATGATCTCGTGTTGGTTTAAGTGATTGATATAAATATTTACTAACAAGATTAGTACCATTTGTTTTATGTAAAATATGTTTAAGTAATATTAAACCATAATATAATATAAATTCATGTCCTTGAGCTTGTAAAATAAAAAATTTATCTAATAATATACCAATATAATGTATTTGTTCAACTGATTGTCGAATAAAATAAACAAATTGATGTAAAAATATTTTATCAGCTGAACCATATTCAACAAGTTCATTTAAATATGGTATTAATTGTGTTGCTAACCAAAATTGTTTTTGATGATATGTTTCAATAATAAAACGAAGAAATAATTGACATGCTAAACGATTATGTATCATATATTGTACAAATTCAATTTGTGGTAATAATGTTTTTAATATTGATGATGATGATATATCTGTATTTAAACGATTTTCAACTATTAAACGTATAAGATATGGTAAATAATGTGTTAATAATTTTGAATCAATTGGATCATGATATGAAATTCCACCATCAAGAACATCCCATGCATATAAACCCATATGAAGTAATTTAAGAAGAAATTGTAATTCTTTATTCGAACGTGGTAATGGAATTTCATCATCAACCTGAGAGCAAAAAAACAATCTTGCTATAAAATTAGTGACTAAAGGGATTGCAGCAAAATATTTTCAAATTCGGAAAGTAGAAGAAAATTATGTTATGCTCGAGGTAGATAAATTGTATATGAATGTTTTTGAGATTTAAAAAAAAAAGCCTGAATGCTCTTGTACATTATTTTTGACATCTGGAAATATGAGTAAGCGTGATATACTATACGAAAGGTGAATACAAGCTTTTGACTACAGAACAGGATACAATTTACACTTGTAGATAAATACTTCACCGATTACATGGTTTGTCTATGATCAGGTTCTACTGTGTACTGTTCCTATGTCGATAGGTGGTGGTTCTTGTTAATGCTGAAACGATGCGCAATAGAATCTGACAATACATACATGATTAGATAGAGGAAGTCTTTCTCTACAAATTTTCATTCTGTAGTGAAAATCTTATAGTTGTTTTTGTCTATTTTGAATTTTTATTTGTCTCCTATACTTTTATATTGTTAATTTTTGTTATTCAAGTTTATTCTTTAAAAATTAATTTTATTTTAATAATAAAATAAAATATTTAATTATATCTAACCTGTTTATGTAGTAATAAAATACATGATTTAGCTAATATTGAAATAATATTTGGATCATTAAGTATAAATGGTATATGTTTATTAATAATATCTGTATCACGTGAATGTGCATCTAAAAATTGTTCAATTTCTCTTTGTTTTTTTAAATCTAATTTTCTTTCTTTTAATGCAGCATCAAGTGTCCAAACAAATATATGTATTGAATCAGATTTTGAAACACTATTATTTTCTAAATCATGAAATGCCATTAATAATAATAAACGTAATGATGAATAATGAACAATTTTTGTACGTTGAAATAATTTTTGTAAACTTGTTCGTACAATATCATATAATTTAATATTTGTACCAATCATATGAACAAGTGTTTGAATTGTTGGTGATGTTTGTCGACGTTGTTTAGGTAATTGAAGAAAATAATTATGATCACATTGTAATAATTGTTCTTCAACATTAGTTAAATATTGAGATATTATTGGTTGAAGTTCTTTTTGAAATAATGTATGATTATCTGTCCATATTAAACGTTTTAATTCAATTGGTGCACGAGAATAAATTTGTTCATGTTCAACGATATATTTTACATATCTAGATAAACAAATATATATATATATATATGTACCATGAAAAGTGTTTATTAGTAGTAGCGTGACCAAGGCTGAATATTGCCTTATCATTTACAAGGCTCTCGATTGTTTTTGAGAGTGGCGGGGGCTAATTTTTTTTCTTTTGCCAGACACTTCACAAAAACTTGGCAGACAGTCACTTATTTTTTGGGGAACTTCCCAATTTTTCATTAAAAGTGATGACCGGGGGGGGGAAGGGGGTAGCGCGACGAAGATACCTCTACCCCCCTCCAGGGCTAAGTAAAATCTTCGAAAAAATTGTCTCAAAACAAAAATTTTTCACCGCTCATATTATCACGTGACCAGTCGACTGCAGCCGTAAAATTAAATTTCGCAGACTATATTACACATTTTTGCCAGACAGTATTAAAAATTTTCGCAGACACGCTTAAAAAATGTCAGGGGCTAGCCCCCGCCACATCGTGGGGCCTGATCATTTAAGATCTCCGGTTACGTTATTAGTGATTACAAGATTGAGGTTCTTAGGAAACACGATTAAAGATTTTTGTTTCCACAATACGCACTATGGAATGTAGCAACTAATTAAAGAAATAAACCTTTTGTGAAATAGAATCTAAAAGGAGTGTAGAAGTATATAGAAAAGAAATTCACGCCCATTTCGTTTCTCATACATTAGGACAGATGCTAACCGAATACCATCGGATACAGTATTGATTAATGATTCTGACTCTTTGACAATATATTAACTACTTCCTTATTGTAGTTCTGAACAATGAAGGAAAATGAAATTATGTGTTCCAAGATAGATCGAATACAAAAATATTCTTGGCTAGCAACAACAACTGTATTAATGGGTGGTCGGAAAGTTTTGGCATAAAATGTTTGTTCATTTTTGACTCGCTTGAAAATATTTCCGACGAGTCAAAACCTATGCGTTAGAACCAGAATTGTGTACTCTTTCCGAATATGGACTTAGAAATGTTGTGTCGGTTTTTGTTTGAGAGTTGTGAAATAATCTTTGAAAGGTCTGAACAATTAGTTTGGACAGATTTTTTTTTCCATACACTTTTGGGATCCAAAACTAAAAGTTGGAATCTTTGTTATTATAACAGCTTGTAGAGCGAAATCTACTCTACAAAATGTAGTAGTTGAGTTCTTTTTGCCTTTCAATAACGCTTCTGAATTTTCGTGTTTCCTAAATCGTCATTTTGAGCAAAAAGCGTTTTACATGGAAAAGAGCTCTTGGAAAAATGCATATAGCTTTCATTGGGTAAAAGCTACAATTTAGTTCGCTATCACATTTTGTCAAAAATTGTTCTCTCTACAAAACTACCGTATCCGATAATTTTTAGCATCTTCGCAAAGGGATTTATAAGAGTCAGCAAAACCTGTTTGTTTGTAGGTCAAAACTAATTGTTTAGACCTTTCAAAGATTATTTCACAATTCTCAAACAAAAACCGACAGAAAATTTCTAAGTCCCTATTCGGAAAGAGTACACAATTCTGATTTTGACTCGTCGGAAATATTTTCAAGCGAGTCAAAAATGAACAAATATTTTATGCCAAAACTTTCCGACCACTCGTTATGTTTCACAATTTTATCCCGTAAGGATTACACAAACAGTTTTTTATAGAGGTTCTTGTACAATATTTCTGTTACGATGATATTCATTCAAAAAACTTCAACAGTAAGCTAAGAGCCAAAACTCTTTTCAAAATATTTATAGATCACTTACGAGGGAGCATTCTGTAGATCCTAACGATCTATGAATTCTCTGAAAAAAGTTCGTGCCGCTAGCTTATTATTGTTGAAATACTGCCTTTTTACTGTATGTTTAAGAAAAGAGAGCTGTGGTCCCCCTCAGGAACACTTGGAAAACTGAATTTTAAATTTCAATTTCAAACTTTGCATAGATAGAGGGCTCAATGAGAATACTTTATTGTGAAAGTTTCAGCTTTTTTCGTTGCACCTATCTTAAGATGCAATTATCATAAAATTGCTCATATACCCCAGCGAATCCGATGTTCTTATCTCATACTAGGAGCAACCAAAAAATCTGAAACATTCATAATAAACTGTTCTCATCGAGGCCTATATACATGCAAAGTTTTAGGCTGAAACTCAAAACTCACTTTTCCTGATGTTTCTGAGGGAAACCACGGCTTTTTCCGAAACATATAGTAAAATGCTATATCTCAGCAGTAAGAAGCTAGCGGTACGAACTTTTTTTGGAGGATTCATAGATCATTAGGACCTATATAATCCCCATATGGCTGACTCAAAAGCGATGTGACACTTGGGAATGTTCCCTCGTTACTCTTGACTTAAAAAATTGATTTATCAATTTGAAGAATTTTTATCATAAGTAACATAAATAACATACTTATCCGGTATTTTTGGCATATGTTTAACAATTTCCATAACAATTGGTGTAACATGTGTTAAATTAATAACTGCAAAACTTTTTTCTAATAATGTTTCTAATTGTTCTTTATCATCATGTTGTGCTAATTCTTGTATTCGTTTTATTAATCTATCTTTCA